CAACCACCACTCAAAAACTAAGATGTTGCTCCTGTTGAAAGAGACTGGAAAATCCAATGGATTGAAGATCCAGATCCATTAGTTGCAATGGGACTACTGAAGGGATAGCACGTGTCCTCATACCAAAAAATTCAAGAGATGTGAGGGAAGCCCACAACCCCAGAGACAGAACCATCCCTGTAAGTAGGAGCCTGACTGCCCATTTCATAGCCTGAAGCTTGATGGGAGGTGGCTGAGCCAGGCATAAAACATGGTGAAAACTTGTACAATTCAGCAGAAGACATATGGTGCTGATGCTAGACCAAAGGCTAGATCCCTGAATCTCCCCTTGTCTCAGGCACAACAAATAAACAGAAATAAAATCCCAGAAGAACAGGATCAACTGTCACTACCAACCCCTGAACTGCAGAGCCTGATCTTTGTATACAAAACGTAGCTAAAGGCAAGATGAATTCAATATGAGAATGAGGAGAAATGCCTCAGCAACCACAAACTTGGGCATCCACGGACCTGGTGAAGAATGCCAATGTGGGGTGAGAAAGGACTCTATTGCGGACTGGGGAGAAACAATGAATGGGTTAAGGTGACAAAGAATGACAATCATTCTTGAATCTCCCCTTGTTTCAGGTACAACAAATAAACAGGAATAAAATTTCAGAAGAACGGGATCAACTGTCACTATCATCCCGGTGATCAGTAACTATGATAGCCGTGAAATGAAAATCCACACCCCACTGGTCAGATGGAGGTGGAAATACCACAGGGTAGGAGGATAATGGAGGTGAAGAATTGAATGGAAAGACAAACCTCGATACCAGAACCCAAAGTACCCATGGATCTACAGTGAAGGAATACCAGGTGTCCATCAATAGTTGTAAACTCAATCATAACTGACCTCCTCCCCCTCCCCCCCTGTACCTAGATTGATACTGACACTATTGGTGTCAGTTGGCCCAAATGGAGTGACCTTGAAAATAAGGTCTCAGTCTATTCAGCTGCTAGAGCCAAAAAAGATCAAGAGGTCAACAACAACAACAAAAATGCAAACGGGTGATGTCAATTTGCAATACAAACACCTCTGGGATACCTGTGTACATGAAGTGACAATAAAAAGATGCCACATGTAACACCTAGAGGCTACAGCAGATAGACAAAGTCCCTTCACTAACATACCTCTACAGAAGGAAGAGAAGAAGGCAATCTGACCAAATTAGCACTCAGTAGGAGACCCCATTTGTCTACAAATTAATGTGGGGACCATTGATAGGCTGCCAACAATTTGCAAGGGAAGAAACATCACAAAGCATGAGTGAGGAGCAAACAAATACAAAAAAATTTGACTGGTTCAAAGTGATCACATGAACCAACCTGGAACCCCACATATTTCAAATTAAATGATTTTAGAGTGTAGAATTGAAAACATATGTCTCCCTGGAGGTGGAAAGCCAAAGCATGGAAACAGGCAAAGGAGAGTACAAGGTATATCTATCCCATCATGTAATAAAGCAGTAAATCTCTCATAAGCCAGGAATATCGGGTGAAGAGGGAAAAACTAAATAGTCCCCCCCAGACTGTTCCACCATCAAGGGAGGAGTAGACTCGATGTCACAGAGAAAAGCCCCAAAATCTCATAACCCAAATGACTAATCGAAGAAAAGGAGTAGGAGGTAGTTGATCCAAATCGGATTCATGGAAATCCAATTTAGTAAAGAAAAGCATCAGAAAAACTGAGTCCAAATTCTCTCCAGAATAACCAAGGTCAACAAAAAAGCCAACTTAAGAAGATCCAGAAGAAAAACAGCCTCAACTGAGAGATGCTAGATAACAGAGGAAGTAATTGCCATGCTGACATTTGTAATAAAGGAATTCATACCCGCAAGCATCATGTCCAATTTATTTTTTTTAAGGAAATTACAATCATACAGAAATCCACAAAGCTATGTGAAAATCGCAATCAGGAATGGAACAAACCACAGCACCTCATCACGAAAAACCATGACCACCGCTTTGTAAAGAAAAAGTGATTACATTATCTGAGGGAGGTGCTTATATACAGTGTCAGGATAGAGGATGCATTGACACAGGTAGAGGAATTTGCAAATTAGACATTGCCAAGGGCGTTTAAGTGGGGTATAAAAGACTGGAGCACTTAGGAATAGCTAAGTGTCAGCAAAGGGTAAGTATATTTCAGAAATAAAATCTAATTATACCAAAGACTCTGAGAAAATACACAGAGACAATGTTACAAAAGCTCCACACCATTGTTCGTGTCAAAGACAGTCACACTAAATATTAGCATCAAAGAAACTTAAAGGCATTATTTGTGTACTAATTTTTCTATAGTTTCCTGTAAGACTAATTTGCAATAATTATAAGTTAATTTCTATAGCAAATCAATGAGTATTTTGTGTGTAAAACTCATAAAATGACACTTTTTTGGGGTGTTCTAATATATTTGCATATTTGTAAATCAAAAATTCTTAGACTTCATAACAACCATCAAAAACAACCATTTTCTTATCCACACAATTTTTTATTTCCCCTTGATCAGAATTTGAGCTGAAATTCATGTTATAAATTTACTAACAGATATTAAAACACACACCTACAATGGTATCAAATTTTAAACTTACAGAAGATGTTGCCAAAAGCTGCATGGTTGGCTCATGACTTTCCAACAACCCATGAATCATCTTCAGAAAACTTTCCACAAACAAGTTGAGGCTCTGAGCATGGCAAGCCACAAGGAGCTGATCCATGGCTTCCATGGCAATGACCACATATCTAAAATAGTGATAAAGCAGTTTTTATTACCATAATTATTGATGTTATGACTAAGTTGTTCTGTTTGTTAAAATTTTAGTATTTTTAAAACAAAAATACAACCACAATATACAAACATTACATATTTTTTAAAATTGGGTATTATTATTATTTATCAGCTTCCAACATTAGAGCAGCACAAATTACTAGCTTAGAAGCTATTACCAAGAACATTTAAGACATTAAAGTGTACTTGCATTTAAATTTGCTTTTTCTTTTTGATTATATTGTTGTTTTTCTATTTAATTATCTGTTGAAATTATATTTAAGTTTAGCTCAATTAAATATTTTTATGACTGTAGACCAAACATATTTGTTCATGTTGAATATTTTTAATTAGCTAAGGACTAGCTTTTAGCTCTCAACAACAGTCAAATTAGTTGCATGGTTATAAATAAACTAAACTTGCTGAAATTTCTTTTGAGGACAAAACATTAACAACAATAACAAAAAAACACCAAGTTCACATCCTTACCCGAGGTGGTAAATGTAATTACAATATACTTTATATTCCTTCCTTTTGAGTGCAACACCTTTTTGTATAGAAATAAAATCACAAAAACTAAATTATGATTTTAAAATATGATTATTTACTAGAACTGAATTTTTCTGAAAAGCAAAAACAATACTAGTCTTAAAACAATCAATCACAAGTAAAATCCTTGGATGGAAATTTTTTGGCAACACGAAAATACGTATCTTGTAAATAATGCAATAGTCACTTGAAAGAAACTGTATTTGCCAACTTGTAACATTAAAATAGCACTTTAATTGTAGCTTCTTAATAAGGGGATATTTACAAATTTAAAAAAGCAGTGTACTGGCATTCTCATATATATATAAATATACCATGCATCTAATTATATCACTGGTCACTGGAGGTGCTGTGGGTGCAGTCATTTACCCCCATTTTTAAAGTTAGGCCCCGACTCAGTGTTAAAATGTTTATGAACAGATGGAAAAGATAATCAAACCGTGTGAAAAACAAAAATTCAACTTAATAGAAACTAAATATTATTATTATTGCTGAATGAGCCTCCTTCACAGTAAAGTTTGATGTGAAAAATGAAGTAAAATATATTGATGATAGTCAGGATACAGCACAGCTAATGATAGTTAAGGGCCCTTATATATATATATATATATATATATATATATCATCAAGTGGGTCTTGAATATCATCAGAAGGTCCTCTTAATTATTGTCAGATAGGTCATTATACACTATCTGACCTATATACATTATACGTCAGATAGGTCATCATACACTGAGTGGAAAAATCCACACATTCTCCTCTAAAAAAAGAAAAATAATAGTAAATGCTCTATAAGCATAAAAATATACAATACTAATACTGTCTTTTTTGGTAAGGGGTCTTTTTGTGTCCCATGGTATTAAATCTACAAAGGGACCTTGTGATTGTCAATAGATAAGAAGTGCCTCTGATAGTAAACATAAAAGAGGAGCTCTTGATTGTAATGGACAAGAAGAGTTCCTGATAGATATCATAAAAAATATTTAATAATTTTTAGTGTGTTACATACTTGTTTAATTTTTTGTATATTAATGAGTCATCCTCATAAAATCATTATAATTTACTGACTTCTGCATTGCTACAATATAAGTATTGTATACGAACCATAGCTACCAATGATACTTAATCATTTTGTCCTAAAATAGTTCTCGAATTGTGGCATGTCACTAACTGACCATGTGACCTGTTTGTACTCATTCAAAGTCCTTATAGATTTGACATTACTCGCTTTTAATACAGTGTGTATATCTTCCTGATATTGAGCAGTCTTTCAGTAAACATTATAAGTCTTTCACAGACAAAAAATCATATTTCTTAGTGAAATATTTTTAATAAACTAGAAACAGATTTGTCGTTGAATATATCAAGTAGTTGTTTTGAATAGTCCGTGTGCCAAGTGATTTTCATGCTAAGATTAAAAAATACTTTTTTCATCTCAAAAATCTTAAATTTCATTTGTGTAATCTCTAAAACTTCCTAAATACATTTCAAATGCTTGTTTTTAGTAAAACTTTATATTTTATCTGTGATTTTCTCTACCCTAACTCTTTACAAGTTTGGTCAATTTGACCAATTTTGGTCAATTTCATTTGTGTAATCTCTAAACTTCCTAAATACATTTCAAATGCTTGTTTTCAGTAAAACTTTATATTTTATCTGTGATTTTCTCTACCCTAACTCTATACAAGTTTGGTCAATTTGACTGATCTCGTAACCACCACAAAACAAAACAAATTTCCCTTTTTTTTCTTTCTAGAATGACTTCAAATGTAGCGTGAAACTATTATCCTAAGTAGCTTTAAACTTGTCACAGTATACATCTATTCGTAATTAAATTTTATTGCACTTTGAACCATGTCTAACTACTATTTGCACCATTATCAATTGTAAATCACTTTGGGAACATGCAGCTCACATTATGCTGTCGAATTACATTACCCATGAGCTACTCCGAACTGCTTACGTGTGTGCCTTGTGAAATATTTTTATTATATTATTATTGTTTTATTTTATCTAATCTAACCTTAACTAACCTGAAAAGATCTCTATTTTTACATTTTAGTTACTTTAATAATAATAATAAATAAAGAATATGCATGTAAAACAAGAAATAAGGTATTTAGCAATTCTTTTTTTCTTGCTGTCGTTGTCAATGACACTTAACCCTACTTCTTTATGCTAATGGTAATAGTGCATTAAATAATCTTTATTTCATTACATAATGCACGAAAGAACAGACTAATAAAAAATTAGACAATTTCCACTAACTCTCAAACTTTTTCTCGCTTTCTAACTACGCAACAAGAGCCATTACAAATTCATCCAAGCTAGTCGTTAACCTTCCCATGGGAATGAAGCTTGTACTCTGAGTGAAATTGATGCTTATCTGTTCAGAACACAGTGTTATAAAATATGTCATTTGATAGATGAAAACCTTCGCTTTTGATTGGTTATAGATAATATATAATTAAGAGAAAACTATTAACAAATCCTGAAAGAGAGAAAGGTATGACAGCTATTTGATAGCTCTGTAACCAAACAAAATTGAAGGCTATAAAAATTATGGTTTGTTTGAGCAAGGATGATTTTATAGTGAGTAATTTACATTGAATTTTGTACATTTTGAAGGGCTGGTGGATAAAAGAGAGAAGAGTAGATGCCTAAAGAAAATATGCCCAGTGTGTCACATTAGGGTAAATTTGGGATTTTTAAAATATTGCCTTATAGAATTAAGAACTTAAAACTTGTATACTATCAAAATATGGATTATTACCTAAGATTTTATGCTATCCTAATTGGTATAACATAAACAAAAAGTAGTTTAATAAAAATTTGAATGTAAAACACAAAAACCTTGTGTCATGCACAGTAAAGGATACTCATGGCGATAGGGTTAAAAAGTATTCTGGTGACTTATATTATGAATACCAATATAACTTGATTTCTTTGAGCATTATTTTTTGCATTACAATTTTGCTTTTTTTTTAGTTACCTTAATATGCACACATTTAATTTCTATATTGAAATTATAGGGTCCCAGAATTAGAGAAAATAAATGGGCCACCCTGGGAAAGTCACACTCCTTTTTCATAATCCTTTGTACAGACCAGTCAGGCACTAATTAAGTTCAACTTAAAGATTTAAGAATAATTTTGAAACAAGTATCACGAGGAAACTAAAAACCAACTTTAACAATGATTGATAAAGGTAATGTTTGGCAAAGTAAATATCAGTACAACTGTAACTCTACACATGTGCCTCCATTGAGGGTATAAGTCATTTTTAAAATGTTCCATCCATGCACATGATTCAGGGATGAAACTAAGTTTATTTTAACAATGAGTATGGCATTCAGTTCCATTCCCTGCTCAATTTGATTACTGCATTAGATAATGTGTGAAATATAGAGTCAATTAAGGATTCATAAGCTGTTCATGATAGTTTGTGTAAGACTAGTGTTCAACAAGTATACATTCATTTTAATGAAAAATCAAGTATATTCAGTTGAAATTATTGTTTTCTGGTTAGAAACTCTTGAATAAGACTGCTTAAAACATGCATCTACATGATACTAGCTATATAATAAATTGTCATACCCATTTCTGTGCCTAGAAATGTCCCTTGCAACTCGCTGAGCTAAGTATTCTCCAATCCTGTCTAGCTTCTCAGGAGATGAGAGTGCATAGAAAGTGAGCTTTTCCATGTTATTACGAACCAGTCCATCCTGTAAAGAAAATTAATATAATCTTTAAGTGAACAATTGTGTTTGATTTATATTTACCAGCACATAGAAACAATACAAATAAAGTGAATTTCATTAACCAAGACACTGTAATTCAGATTATTCACAATCCACATGATTTTTCATGTAGACAAATCTTTATAAATGCAATTTAATTAATAATCCATACACATATTTCTTATAACAGACAAGCATTTCCCATGGATACATGATTCAGAAATATGTAAGACACCACAAGAGTTAGGGAGGAGTCAATTAAAATAGAAAATGAAATGGTAATCAAAGACCACAAAACACCTACACTCACAGTATTTACTGATTTACAACAATATTTCTAGGACCTATCCTCATAGTATGGCTGTATACATAAAATATAACAGATATTGAGAGGTTATCAGTGATTTATGCTACAATTGTTTCAAGTAACAGTTCTTGAAATCAAAGATGCATAGATATATCAGCATCGTTAAAACATGATACTTGTTCAGTTCAGAAAACAATACGTGTACTATGTATTTTGTATTCTATAAGCAAGTCCTTGATTTAAACAAAATGATGATATATGTGATGATAATGATATAATATGCCACTCTGATTATGCAGTTTGTATAATGATTAACGTTTAAATGTTACCATTTTCTTTATCTCAAAGTCAACATTTTCTTGAATCGAAAATGTATTTCCAATAATACTTATCTTCTCTCACACTACAGCTATTACTTGACTGCTACAGTTTCCTTCCTTTGCCCATCTAAGCAATGGTCAGAATTTTTCTCGCTTGCTCCAGTCTTTTATTCCACACTTAACTTGCCCTTGGCGATATCTGTCATGTGACACTCTCCACCTAAGTCAATGTGCCCTCTATCCTGATACTGTATATAAGCACCTCATTTAGATAATATTATCACTTTTACAAGACTGACTCAATCCACAGTCTCTAATACTGGCTCTTAGTGGGGAGGAAGGACAGGAGTGTGAAAGGAGGTATGTAGTATTGGAAATACATTTTTGATTTAAGAAAATGTTAACTTCCAAAACATTTTTATCTCCCCTCACATTACAGCTAGAATCCCAAATTGATAAGGTGGAGGGGGGCTGGTGAGAGTATTATCCATAAAAAATGCATCTGCATAGATCGTGAGTGTACCAATAGAAACTTTGCACCCTAGTGGGGGAACTGCACTACATGCAGAACAGGTATGCTCTTCACCCAGAACCTAAATCATGGCATTCAGGTGGAATCTGACATGATCTGTCATCACTATAGGCCAGGTCCAACTGCTCAGGGTTGGAATTATAGGGCCATGGTTCTTAACTCCCACATTTGTGGCTAGGGCATTTGGACCACAATATATATATATATATACACACACATAGTTGTGAGCGGATCCCAACCTGTAGCTATAGAGTGATGCATTCCGAACCACTGGAATCACGAGAAGAAGGTAAGCAACACCAAAGTTGAAAAAGCAAAAGGAAACACTCCAAACTCGGAATGATGGAATCCCGTATGCCATACTCAATCTGAGGAAACAGAAATTATCCAGTCTGGAATTATGAACACTCATCCTCACTCCCCAACCATGTGGGCAAAATAAATTATGTAATTATGGGGAGGACATGGAACAAACTGTCCTCAACCAAGGACCCAGGATGGGATCACTCTGCATTCAGAATTATAAGAAGACAACGTACTGAACTGATTCATCAAAAAGAAGGGCCACTCTCAACCTAACCCAAATCTGAACCAGTATTAAGAGCAGACTACCAGTGTAGGCTGGTGCCACTCCTATCGACATCTGGGAAAAATCATCTAGGGACCCATATAGAAAGGCCCCCAACTTCACCTTTTTTCTTGAAGAGTGGAGGAAAGTCACTCAACACTCTGGTGGAATAGCCTCTGGAAACTGGGTGTGGTAAGGACTTCCTCGCCCTACTAGTAGCAACAATGCTCTGGAAACAGTTCAATAGGTGAATTAAGTTCCCTAAATTTTTACAAGCAAACCAACCTCGATTTATTCAATTCAATGATCAGCAGGGACAGCCAGGGTCCCCTTTTGCTTTACTCATGATAGTCCACGAGTGGTGGCCCAGCAAGGTACAGTAATACCACTCGGTCTGCCTTTAGGTGGTCTTATGAAACACCTCATTTCTACAAAGTCTGTTGCAACCTAGATAAAGTAAATTGTGTTAGTGGTTGCTAGGGTGAAATTGGTTTGATAAAAGCATACCTGCATGGGCAACACTTGCTACAGAGTGTGATCCTGTGAAAATGAGGTAAGAGACCCTGGAAAATAAAAGAGACAATATTAGTAATGAAGATACTCACACCACCTTATAATCTAGCAGATGTAGTTAAGATAGCTACTGGGAGTAGTCAAAACCCTCAGAAGAAGATACTGCCACATCATGCAAATAATGTTAGATAAAAGTAATGGAGGAGATACACATACTAGCCCACCCAATGTTATCCAGTGAGCAATTCAACTTGGCTGATAAAGACATATAAATGTGACAAATCTGAAGAAACATGACTTACAGAAGACTCCTTACCTCAAAAGAGAGCCCAGAAAAAGCGATATGGTTCAATTTCCATACCCACCCCAATAAAGTAAATGGGGGGGAGTCCCAGGAAACTGAAGGATCCCAATGAATGAAAAGTCGTGGTCTTGCACCTCAAGTGTTAGAGCAAACAACATAACACTTCAAAACCCTAACTGGACATAACAAATGATCGAGATCCGATCAGTCATAGAAGTGAGAAACAGTGGTCGGACGAATCGGTGAAAAGGATTTATCCTCTTCCCCCAGCTGCCAGTGTCTTAAGGAAGAAGAACCTATATGAGCATAGAAGGATGTAGGTCAAATGCATCCTGTGCACAATCAGCACAAATAACTCCAACTGGAAATGTCTGCAGGCCAGCAGCAACGAAAAGTAAACCTTAAAGGAAAGGTGATACAGGAGGCTAGGTCTGAAATGAATGTTGAGAAAGAACACGTAACACCACCTTACTATACCAGTTAGGTAACAGAAATGATCGTTTGGGACGAAGGACTTGAAATGCCATGGAGGTCACAGAGCACTGGGGACTCAAATAATGTTTGTCTTGAGTATCTAAAGGTAGTCGATATGACCGCCTAATATAAGGTGACTGTGGAAGGTGTAACACCCTTGTCAAAGAGCCAGGTCAAAAAATGAGTTATGGTTGGCACTTCTGTGGGTTCAACCTCCTCTCAATACATCACTGCCTATATGTGCACCATTTTTGTTGATAATTGTCCATCGTGGGACTATGCAAAAACAGACAGATACATGTCAACCTTAGAAGTCAAGCCCTGACGCTACATGAAGGACTGCAGAACATCCATACACAAAGCTTAAGCGATGATGGATTACGACTGTCTCAACTGTGATGGCCAAAGAGGAAGTGGAAGAGGTGGGCACTCCTGTAGGTACTGCAGAAGTGGAAACCAGGGTTTAGCCACCAATCTGGTGCTATCAACGAGACCCAACAATGTGTTGGAACGAATCATAGCTAGTACCTTGGGTAACATAAGAGTTGGTGGGAAGGGTTAGAGGTGTAATCCAGTCTCGTCCTGACTGAATGCATCTATTGGCAATGCTGAGAGTGAGTTACTGGAGACCAAAATGTTGGTAGTTGAGTGTTCCAATGAGTGGCCAATACGTCAATCAGTGTTCCAATCTGAGAGCAAATCCAATGCAGCACCCATTCTGTTCAGAGAATCCGCTTGGGTCGAGACAATTGATCTGCCACTGAATTCATCACCCCCAGAACCTGGCAAGCTAGTAGAGTGATATGATAGATGTGGTCCCAAAAAAAGAAGATCCAAGGTTCAAAAACAAAGAGACCTGGACAAAGTGCCCCCTTGCACTGGAATTGTCAAAGTGAATCCTTACTATTTTCTCCTTAATAAGTGCAGACCATGAGACATCACTCTTTGAAAAGCAAAAAGTTGTAAAACATTGTGTAGGGAAGCCTTGTTGTCCATCCGTAAGACCTGAAATTCCTGACTATTGAGATATGCACCCAATTCCTGAAGTGAGGCATCCGTTAAGAGATGGATCTCTGAATGAGGCAGTGGCAGAGGAACACCTATCATAATACTGTTCCGATCTAGCCACCACTCGAGATCAAAGATGATGATCCTGAATAAGGAAACTGGGAAACCTAGTGAATTGCTTTTCATGATCCTTTGGTCACATAAAGGCCACTGAAGGGATCTCTTGTGTGCTTGTCCCAAAGGAATTAGGGACTTGATTGATGCCCACATCCCCAAAAGAGATCTGCACAGTGGGAGAATGAGAGGTGAGTAAGAGTCGGACTGCATGTTCCATAGCTTTGAGCTGTTTGGTAGTCGGCTGAGCCTGACTGAGATAAGCATCGAAAAAAATACCCAGACTGATGATATATGGTGGTGAAGTGAGAATAGATTTCTCAGCTCTGATAATGAAGCCCGCCTTGGTTGCTTCTGAAAGTAGAATCTGGGTGTGATGTCCCACCAACTGACAAGATGGGGTCAGCAGTAACCAGTTGTCCATGAAATGGTGTATGCACAGGCCTAGGGAAAGGAGATGACAAGAAAAAACCTGTATGATTTGGCAGAACACATATGGTGTCAATGCTCATCCAAATGGCAGAGCACTGAACTGCAGCATCTGACCTTTATGTACAAAACTGAGCAGTAAAGCTCTCTGCATGAACCACAATATCAGTGGATGGAGGTAGAACTGAGTATTTGCTCTCAGACCTTTCAGCTATTAAGGAAAGTGCAGGCTCAAAAGAAACTGGGAAAAGACCCAAAACATCAAACACTTGATGGACCAACTGAATAAAAGGATCTGGAGGACGCTGATCCAAAAGTGGCCTCCTGAGAAGCAGATAGAGTAAAGGAAGGCAAAGGAAAAAAAGCAAATCTAAGTTCTCTCCAGAATGTCCAGGATCACCCTTAAATGCAGCCTCAGAGTCCCCTGTAGAAATGCCAATGGACCAAATATATGTCTCCATATCACTACGATTGTTAAGCAACACCACTAGATATCAGAGACCTGATTTGCCTCCATGCTGGAAACAATAATCCAGGAATTCATGTTATATATCTGCTTGCAAACAAGATGTTTCTTTTACAAAAATCAACTAGGTAACATTAAGAATGCTCAAAGTATATCCAATGATCATAGTACAGAGAAACCCATTAGTGAACACTTTGTCAAGAAAGAGTGATAATATTACATGAATGAGGTGCTCACCAGCCTCTCCACCATATCAATGTGAGATTATAGTTGTAGTGCGAGAGGAGATACACATGTTTTGGAAGTTAACATTTTCTTAAATTGAAAATGTATTACCAATACTACTTATCTCCTCTCATACTCTCCCACCCTTCCTCTCCACAAAAAGCTGGTGTAAGAGACTGTGGATTGAGTCAGTCTTGTAAAAGTGATAATATTATCTGAATGAGGTGCTTATATACAGTGTCACGATAGAGGGCACATTGACTTATTAGGTGGAGAGTGTCACGTGACAGATATTGCCAAGGGCAGTTAAGTGAGATATAAAAGACTGGAACAAACAAGAAAAATTCAGTCTATGTTATACATCAATATTCCTAAGTTTTTAAACAAACTTTTCATAAACTTTCCCTTTACTATCTAGCTCATACTGATAGCAGTCTCTCAACATGACTCCAAAGGAAGAAATCTAGCAGTTGAGTAATAGCTGTAGTGTGAGTGGAGGCATGCTTTGGAAATGTATTTCAAATAGATATTCACCTTTCTGCACGACAAAGAGCTAATACCTCATGCATACTGCCATGTAAATTTCTGCACATGCCACAAGCTTTGAACAAAGCTCCCACCCCACATGTTCCAACATATATTGCACCAGCCTATGGTGTAATCATCATTAGACTATAGCTATCCACCAATAGGAGGACAACACATCCTCCATGTGCAGTAATCTCAATAACACTAGCATGTGAACATAAGCTCATTCTTTCTTCAGCAATGGTTGTCTTCAGATGCAATTTCCTCTATTAGATTTACAAGAATTTTTGCACTTATGTTTTAATCTCTTATTGCTTTTCTCTTTCAGATAATCAAGAGAATTACGAAAAGAAAGACTACATCCATAACTGAGTATCCAAATGCCAGGTATTATATGCATCAATACGATGTTTCATCAGTTTATGACACTTTTTATTTTGCTGCATGGAAACTGGCAAGGAACACAAAAGCTATGTCTAGGTCCTTCATGTACTCTTCCCAAAGTCTTTGATTGGTCATTTGTGGGGTTTATCCAAAAGCAGATTAGTAACTGTATGTAAAGTTTGTCAGCACTGCTGCTGTAATGGCTTTGTGTCCAAGATATTGTAATAAATGAACAGACGTGTTCTCACTGGTAGGAAAGATAACTTTTCTGTGCTGGCAACATTTGCACATTATACAACAATGCTGTATTCTAGCAGCATTGTAATCCAACAAAAAACATATCTTGCAGATTTGTAAAGTCCAGCAATTTTGATAATGCATCGTACATGCTAAAAGATAACTTTCATATACAATTAGTGGCAGTAGCATTTGGCAAATACTACAACAATAATCAGAACCTTTACTGTATATCAGTTGCTTTCAGGAACAGTCATCAATACAAGGCTTGCATGTGTAATTACATGATCCAACAGGACATAATGCCTGTGTAAAAACTGCTTAAATTTCATTTTCACTGGATTAACAGATAGTCTTGACAATAATAAGACAGCATTGGTGATTTGACAAAAGTTCACTTCAAGGAGCAGAATGTTTTTTTTCACATTCCTGCAAACACAGAAAGAATAATCAACACAGTTAGAAGAGTAATTACTTTGGAGAAACTGTCACAAAAAATTAAAAATACAACATAAATCCTAAGTTACAATAGTCACTGCTACTTAATTCTTCTGCTCCAGAAAATGGTTTGATTTGAATACTTTTAACAAGTTACCACAGAAATGGCCTCTGTCAGAGAAGGCATGTCTATCAGACTGATAAGGTGCTTCACAAGTTCTCTCAGGGGCTCCTCAATCAACTTATCAATGAGATCTGATAACAATCAGCAGGAGACATGTTCAAGAATGCCTTCCCATGCAACTCCCTTAGATCACCAACATACTGGGCTAAGTTCTTACAAGTTTTCCTTTATGAGCAATGAATTCATTCTTATGAATTTCTCTGTTTTATAGATGGTTGAATTGACAGTACAACTCAGCCACAGTTGTGTTATCAATGATTCTTGACCAAGAACTGGACTGCTTAGGCTTAGCTTCAGATGTCGCACTATTTATGCATATTCAACAGCAGTAAATCAACAGCTCATACCAACTTGTACAAACCCTTGAAATTAGAATAAGCCTCATCAAGGAAAGCATAACAGAAGCTGGGTTAAGAAATATAAATCTTTACAACATATTCTTGGTGATAGCTAACTTTTGTCTAAGCTAGCAGTTAGGCTCAATTTATGCCTTTTCTACATCCAACTTATATACAAGTTCACAAACTGACTACATGCGAAACACCCAAATGAAAATGTAGCAAGAGGTTTCCCAAATATGCCTAAATAAGGCTATATTTTACCAGTAAGCAAAGGATGAAATAATCAGTTCTTTTAAGTGTGACAAAAAAAAAAATACTAAATGTAAGCCATGTTCTTACCTGGGGATTTGCTGGGAAGATGTTATCCACAAGACGTTTGTAACGGGGACGAAGTGCTGAGCAGCAGCCACTACATCCTAAAAAGGAAGAAATTTCTCTTTATTGAACAAACACTTTTGAGTTTTAATTTTAGATACGAGTATTACATGTCCATCATTATGTATCTTCAGAATACTTTCAACAACATCAAAATGTCTTCTAATTCTCCGAGTTGTTTTCTAATATGTAGACATATAGTAAGAATAAAATACTTATCTGAAAAATTTTCATATTTATGCTACTGTTGGAAAAATGAGCAAATCACACATTTAGTTCTAATTACAACTTTTTGTATCTTCTTAAATTCATGCACATTTTTATAACACTGTATGGTGTCATGAAGAGAAATTTAATGAAATTTTTGAATACAGCTTGGAAATGCATATTTCATGTTTAATGTTATGAATATGATTCTAAAACAGCAGAAACCCTTAATAAAGATGTAATATAACAATCTTGAGGATAAAGAAAGCATTACCTTTTTTTCCTCCTGCAGATAAAAGTTTATTTAAAGAAAAAATGGACACAGTTTCAAAAAACTATTACCACGTTATATAAATGCACTAATCTATATCTTTTGTTATGATGTGAATGACCTTATAAAGTTGGCAAAGCATGATTATAATTACATTTGTCATTAGACATTAGTAAAGTACAGTTCCCTGTATTGCAATAAAGCACATTATTTTATCAGAAATTTCTGAATGTTAATTCTTAAACATTTCAAGATTAAACATTTGCGACATAACAATCATAAACTTCATTCTTTATGTGATAGAAAAATTTGATTTTGCCTTTCTCAATAAAGCATCACTACAACTAAAATACTTAAAATACAACATATTGCAGTTTCAAATTATAAAGCATGACCTTAATATAAAAAAAACAACAATATATTATTCTCTCTTTCTGTAATTTATTTAATCTACAATTTAGGCCTAACTAATTTTTTTGAAGTATCTTCTTGATAAACTAAAAGTACCGGAAAAACACAAAATAATAAATAACTGTCAACAAAACCTTGTTCAAAGCATTATTTTCATCTATTATTTCCTATGCAAACATGTATCTTTCTTATATAAACCATGTGCTGTGATATCATGAACGACTGATATCACCTATATGATATTTTCTCTGTTCATAAGATCCACTGTACTGTGATAAAATTTTTTCATTTTGTGCTCAATAATATAACACACACACAAACTTGTTAGATAAAAAATATATTAATGATCAAGTGTGCTATGACATGATTTTGCATACATGTGTTAATCTGGCCTGTCAAAATGTCTCACTTAAACTGCCATTTAATGATTTATGGCCCCCTTCATGAAATTACATATTCAGACATGTAAGCACATTTTTATGGCTTTGATTTCAAACCTACTTTATTTTATACCTAATGTCGCATCATTCTCGTGATCTCTGTAGCAGACTGAAATATGTGGCTTAATAATACCAAAATGTCATCTACCAAGATGAGTCATCTTTCCCACTGAAAACTTAGGACTGTATGCTCTATCAACCATTTCAAATAGGAATGTGCATTACATAAGCTACCTAGTATGTCATGAAATTCATAACTGCCATCTTAATTGCTAATTGTAGTTTAGGTCTCTTTCAGTATTCAGTTCTACTTTCCAGCAGAAGTTCATTCAAATTTAAAACATAAGTAAATACCTTAGCACAAAACTTTCCCTAAGATTATAACTGGTAGAGAAGCACATTTAATTATTCATGATATTCACATCCATTTTTCAACCTATCATTCCACGACCCAAATCTAAAATGCTCTTAACAAATATTTCCAATTGAATTATTTCAAAGAAAACAAAGTACAGCTTTAAGTTTTTTTTTGTTACTAAAAGTTTTAAACCACATATTATTTGAATAGTTCATCTTTTAAAAATCTATTCAGTATGTGAAAAGCATAAAATCAAAGTGACAAAATCTATTTGGTCTTTCCAAATCACCCACTGTCCAAAGAAACTATAACATTAAAGTTCTAAGCACATGAAGTAATTCATATCTATAAACTGCATCTATCCAAAAAAATTAGAAAGAATTCAAACTGTATACACTATACATGCACCTTTAAATCATTAAAAAAAAATAAAACTACATCTAAGCTTGCAAGTACAAACTTCCTAGTATTCAGGTTTGTATTTACAATATTTTTATTCCACCACTAAAACAAAACAAAATTGTCCTTATCCCCAACACTTTTGAGCACTGAACTAAGTCTTCACTAATTCTTCTATGCTCCACACAATAACATATCCAAAACCGTAAGCTTCTTCTTGTATTTCAAATTATTTACAGTAGTAATATTTTAGTATCCTGGGTTTGCATTATTTCAACCACAGTAAGTGAAAGAAACTGTCAAAAGTCTTGATATTACAAAAACTAGTTTCAAAGCACTTGAGTTCTTTTCAGTCTCATATTCTTCAGAAGACAACGTGACTGAAGAGGACACATTAATGTGTAGAAACTAGTTTCTCCAATAAAGACTTCTGACACTTTATATTTACTGTAGTTTTTCACTAAATACTACACATAATACTGTATTCTTTTATTACTATTATTGCTTTCCAGCATCTTCATGTCCTTCCTTTAGTGTTTGCAAGAAAAAATATTGCTCACAATGCTACTATCCATGCATAACTATTCTTAGTTATACAAAACAAATTTCTTGCTTTTATAAAATCCTAATACTTGAGCCAAGTGAATACACTTTATTTTCCCTTTTTCGCCATGGCTTTAGTTTATATAACAATCAAATCTAAATAAATCATTCTAAAACACCGGTACTCCTCTCTCTCTTAAGAGTCATGTTCTATAGAAATTTTTGTACCCCCCTCATAAATCACTAAACACTTCTTGAGAATGATTTACAAAAATCATGTTCTACTCATTTATACTGAGTAGGTTTTACTGAATTAAGCATCTTTCAAAGAACAAATTATATACCCAGAGTCAGGATAGGGTTATATGTCTATTAGTTGAGATACAGTAGCTCAGATAGTAGTGCATTAGTTTCAGGATATTGACATTAACTAAAGACACAAGGTTAAAGCTACAGAGAAATGATATTTCTCAACATCTTGATTCATTATATTGCTGCCTAACTAGTGATTGTCTTCAGCATTAACTAAGCTAAGTAGATGGTAAATCAAAACTACAATGTACATGCGTGGTTCAGTCCTTGTACTTTATTGTACTTTATCAATCATTGAATATGTGATATATATATTGGCCATACATTTTTTGGACTGTGCTCATATCTTTCCTCACAGCTAGAAGGATAAAATTTGGTACATGTGCCTAGGTGTCATGGGTGGGTATCCAAACGTTTTTCTTAGTATTGGCATCCTTGGGGTAGCTAGAAGTAACTGGGAATAATGGAGGAAAAGAAAAAGTAAGTAAAAGTATGAAATTATAGGATAAATAAATTGCATTTTTATGATAATGATAATAATAAGAAATATAATTAAAATAAGATTTTAATTTAAAAAGTATACTGACTAATTTTATTTATTTTTGAACATTTGTAGTGTACTTAATTTATATATGAACTGTATTATATATTTGTACATTTGGAAAGTATATGTATTTAGATTAGTTACGTTTAGTTGATAAAAAAATATTTATATTTTTTATTGTTACAGATTCTCAGTAAAACTCTTTCCTGAAGAGTGACCTCTGAAGTCACAAAACTGGTAGAAGAAATTAACAAGTGAAAAAGAAAAAAAAAGTATGATATTCCAGTGTTTTCTTGTTCGTACCCACAGGTGAATATTTTTTATGTTTTGGTTATATATAAATGTGTTCTAGTTGCAAAAGTTAATAATTTAACCAATTCTTTTAGTCTGTATTGCACAATCAATCTGTATAGCACATACACATTGTCTGATGCAAAGTACGAATATTTCACCATAAAACATATACATGACCAAAAATTATAGGCCAGTTAGTGTTAATTTTGTAGCGAGATAAATTCTAGAAAATCCGATAAAATAAATTTTACAGAATCAGTTTGTGAAATATGGTACAGGAGGTCCCCGTTATGTCATAATGCATTCCTGGAAAGTGGGACATATGTCTGAAATGACTTTAAGCAACACAAGCTTTACATATATCATGGTGGTATGCATTCCTGAAAAATTTCAATCCAGACTTAAATAACTTTGTAAAGGGTGTAACATGGCTTTGCTGCAGCAGAAAATACAATGAGCTCGGACAGTGGCATGCAAACACAATGTGCTTACATCCTTTGCTGTCTTAGCCAGTGGAGAACATGTCACACTTTGCCTAGTAAACTAGTCTGACAATATTGGTGCACACTAGTAATGGAACACATATTGGTAGTACAGTACTGTATAGTAATTGGCTAACTACAACTGGTAAAGTAGCCCGAAAATATTTTAACATTCTTGTAATGAAACAAGATGACATTGTTTTGAAAATATTGGTAGTAATTGGTATACACTACACCTAGAAAACTAGTTGATGACATTCCAATGTACTGAAGCATGGCAACAATGTTTGATACATAGGTAGTAACTGGTGAACACACTAATAATGAAATGATGCAGAGTGATACAATGTATATCGGGGATCCAGTGGATCATAAAAAAATTCCAATGAGAATTCATCACAAGGAAATCTTGCCATATAAGTTTGTTATTATTTTTCATGTTACTTGTTACCTGGACAATAGAAAGGGTATGGATTTAATGTATTAAACAATTTTGATAAAGTATGAAAATATCAAACAGTAAGATTATATGGTGGTTGAATAACAGAAAGCAATGGGTTGTTAATTGGGGTGGGGGGGGGGGTCAAATCAAACTGTATGTTTGTTACTAGTGGAATGATTCAGAGCTGTGTTTGAGCATTTACTTTTTCTTATTTAGATTAATTATCTTGATACGGGCATTATTAGTAAATTAGTAAAATTTGCTGATAGTATTGAACTCTGGTATTTCTAGTTGTATTGAGGATATCGAGGTCCTACAGAATGACTTGAATCAACTGCCAAGTTGGACAAATATTTGACAAATGACCTTTAGTTACACTAAAGTGTAGGGTAATACATTTGAGTTATAGCTTGGATCACACGTTTAATACAAATGGGAACCCGCTCAATAACATTTTGAAGAAGATGCACAGTGGTGGATAAGGCACTAAAACCACTGAGGCAGTACTCCGTTGCTAGTGGTACAGCTAATAGGATTTTAGTGTGTTTTTCTAAATATGCTAATTACAATTCAAAATACATAATTATCAATATATACAATCACTAGCTAGGTCTCACTTAGGATATTGTGTACAGTTTTGGTCTCCCTATCTATGAATGAATATTTACTTATTTGAAAAGACTTAGAAGAGGGCAACTAGGATGATTGCTGGGATGGATGGGTTATCTAATTTTTCTATTTAAAAATGATGGGTAAGGGGTGGTCTTAGTAAAGTTGACAATATTTTCTGGGATATAAGATAAGACAAAGGCCTTTGATTTTTTTTGGGTTATATTCTGAGAAAATCAAGATGACAAGCCACAAGTTTAAGATTTAGAAAATACAAACTAAGCTCAAGTTATGCCAGTTTTGTTTTTCTAAAGGGTGATTGGATTATTAAATGAGTTCTCTTTGACAGTATTGAAGGCCAGTACTTTACATGATTTTCAAAAGGTAATCAATGATTACCTGAAAAAATAAGGAGTGGGTTTAAATTTTTAATTTCTCAAAGGTGGGTATACAAAGACAACCTTGAAGGGCTAAATGGTCCACTGTTGTTTATAAATATTAGGAAAAACAGAGGAAAAATAGTAATACCGATATAAGAATGTTATCATTCAAGCACAAAATACACACTTCTAAGCAATCAACATAACCAAAAGAAGGACAGAGGGTGATGAAGTATTTAATTTAACATCTGACTGCATTATAGTTATATGACTAGTTTCAAAGGTAATAATAATAATAACAAGAATTTGTAGAACAGTTTGCTAGTTTTATAGAAAAACAAAAGCCAGTACAGTCATACAAAATGTAGAATATGGCATCCTCACTGTAGGGTCAGATGATCTGCAAGTCTAGTCTTGGTATGTTTTGTATAAGTTTATTTACAAGATAAATTCAAGCTATTCTAATCGGACAGCTCCTGTTGCACAGTTAACAATCAATTAGGTATTAAAAAATAATGAAAAGTAGCAATAATACTGATTTATATAACTAAAAGGGAGATATTTAAATGTGGCCATGGTATAATAAATATTTTGACTTCTGGAGCTACATAATATATGGGACAAAGAAACAATTATAACTGTACTAATTATGTATTTTAAGATAAGAAATGATGTATATTTCTTAACATTACTAATTTATAAAGGCATGCTTCTTTTAATCACTTCATCATAGTGTACAATGTAATACTCATGAATACCTGTTTTTTTATATTAGTATTCTTTAAAGCACGAAATAAGTGTTTAATTTTTTTTTATCAATGTCCTACATGTAACAATTGATCTACTTTTGTTAAAAAACTAACATCAGATGAGGCTTCACACACTGTAGAAATACACATACATATGTGTTACATTAAATAATCACTCATCCACATAACCTAATATGGAGAACTGTATTTTAAAACATAATGTAAATTAAACGCAGCATAATACTGGCAGAAATTTTTATCTTGATTGTTGCTGCATACAGCTATTTATCTGTGGCAGGATTACTAATTTCAACTGTTTGGATTAGTTCAACATTAGAGTTCTGAGAAAAACTAATGATTTTATGTTATTTTTCAAACACATTTCAAGAGCTTTCTTCAAATATCAAAAGCTGAATTAAAAACTCTACATTATAAAGATGCATGTAACACTTGTACAAGACTTGTATACTAGCATGACAATATTCAGTGGGTTAAACAATTCATTATTAGCTGCTAGGCAAGTGGTTGTGTACTAGTCATACAAATTTTATTGTAACACAAAATTTAAGTGGTAAATGACTTCTGAAATTCTACTTATTACATAAGCAAGTAAGTGTAATTATTTGACTTTATATAATAGCTTCTCATATCTAAACATTTGTAGGTGTTTATTTTGATAAATTTAAATCTGTTAAATTGATAAATATAACAATTTAACACTATCTTCCAATCTGCATAGATAAAACACCATGTTTTATGTATTTTTTTTCTCATTTATAACTTATGGCAGTTTTTAATTTGGATTATATATTTCTTTCATTACAAAGATAAAACTCCTTTTTCTCTCTTTTCCTACTAAAGCATCATACACGTATTTCTTAAAGTTGAAGAAAATTTCAAACAATGGAAAATAATTTATAAAAAGTATTTTAATACTTTTAAGTCTTTTTAAATACTCTTTAATTCATAATATTTTAAATGTAACCTCTTCTTTTGCATGTTTTGGTAATGCCAGCAGTATTCTGTTACTTATAAGTTATAATACTACTAGTGTAATGGACTAAAACAAAATGTTCCTACAAATTACAATCAGGGTCAAAAAAATTATTAAACTTTACCAACCCATTTTGTTTTAGTCTGTTACACTAGTATCAGTATTACTAAATTTAAAATAAAAACTTAGAAGTTCAAAGCTAATGCTTTTTTAGAAGTTAGACTATGAAGAATATGATGCAATAATAACATTAAGATTAACAAGTCAATATATGAACAACTTTGTATTTTAAACTATGTATAACCACTGCATCTAAGCCTTGTAAGTTGTACTTGAGTTGATCCCTATTTTTTTATTAAGTTCGAAAAGAAAAAGTATTCATGCTATGTAAATGATAAAGTGGTACAGCAGCGTAAAATTTTTTTTCTTTTTTTTAAATCTACATTGACACTGGCGAGAAGCCCGAAGCAGAAAAATTGCAAGACATTTTGTCATTCCTCTTTCTTTTACTTAGTATATCACAAACGAATTTATGAACTTGTTTAATTGAATGTTTCATCTTATAAAATAAATTTTTATTCTGCTACGAAAATTTTTTTTAAAAAATACAATTTATTTTAAATTATAATCTTGTTCTTTTCTTCAGAATTAAATAGCCTAATACTATATTTCAACATGGAAAACCTTACATACGACTCTCGTGGCTAAAGCATTACTTGTACAGCTTAAGTTGTAGTACTAGTGTAGACTTTTGTGTTTCTCAGTTTCAATGTAGTAACTAAACATTCAAGCAGATAATAATTTATTGCTAAAATATGCCATAAATAAAATGTCATAATTTACTCTTGCCATTATGTAATAAAGCATAACTAAATAAACTACTTATTTTACTTCTCAAACACTTACCAACAGACATTATGAAAACGTAGTCATCCGGTCGTAAAAAGTGATAAAAACCAGCTATCTAGATTACTAATCTTTTTAATTTAAGATACCTAAGCATATAAAACTTAACTACAATGTATTTTAAGTTCAATATTTCGAAATATGAGAAACATAGAGTTAGTATAACTGTTTTAATTTAAGTGTTTCGGTCTTCATATCCAATCTCCCATTAATTAACATTAACAATCGATGCGATGTTTACGCCCAAGCAGATATATTTCTGCTAAACAGGTATTATAATTCACTGCCGGAATTAATAATTTGTTTTTGATATTATCCTTAACTAAAGTTTAACATATTTTATGTTTTATGACAGTTGCCATAATACATTATGCAAATAAGGTCATCAATGTCCAGTTTATGTAAATTACTGAAACCTTTTCATAACGCAGAAAATGTATTGTTATGACAGCGGAAGTCACGTGACACCTAATGAGCATCTCGAACGTTCTTGAAGACTCGAGTATTTTCTAGACGCGCTCTATTTTGCATATAAAGTGACGGCGAGAAGTGACGGCACAGATAATTGCAGACAGGCAGAGATAGAGACGAATATCGAGTCAAGCCGTAAGTAAAGTGTGTAAATCGATGTGAATTATAGCGGGGGTTTAAGTTAAAGTGACTGTGGAAATTAAGTGTATTGCAAAGTTGTATAGAGAAAGAATAAACTAGTGTTGCGTCATCGAGATCACGTGACAGTTCTCACGCTCTCTTTTCTAGAACTATCCCGTATCTTGGCGAATGGTCTAGTAATTACTAGAAATAGGGTACGCTGGTATATAAAAGAGGGGAATGTAATGTGTAGATAGATAGTGAGTAATTGATCTGCGGTCGGAGTATTATAGACGTTCGTTGCTATAGCGTTTGTTTAGCGCGATTGTTGAAGTTAAGTGTATCGGTTAAGTTATATTCGGAAAGAATAAACCAGTTTTATTAAGTAAAGGCTTGTGTCGCTTAAGTTTCGTCGGTACGAAGTTACGGAAAATCAATTAAAAAACGGAGACGTAACAAATTGGTGTCAGAGAGTGGGATAGAAAAAAAAAAAAGAGAAGAAAAATGAAACGAGAGGCGGAAAATCAAACTACAGCTTAGCAGATTTGATGGCAGCAATACAAAAACAAGAAAAGAAACAAGAAGAACGAGAAATTAAAAAAGAAGAGAAATTACGGCAGTTGTTAGAGGAAAAAGAAAAGAAACAAGAAGAGCGAGAAAATAAAC